TTCCTAAGACTTTATATATTTTGGGGGAAATAGGTTCCTTTCTGGAGTTGTGCGATGAGCTAGCAGCCAAACGAATCAACCATAGGACCATAGTATAACGGATGTCAAACATAATCCATAATCCATTAGATAAAATGAACGACATGTTGGAAAATATCCATTTACATACCTGGAGACTATGTTTGTTTAAGATTGCTGTGGACCAAGTAGAAGCATGCAATAGAACTTGTGCGAAATAAATTAACCTTGAAGTAGGTAAGCCAATAAATAGAAAATATACTTTATTTTCAAAGAATGTCTAAAGCTTTAACATAAATCTAGTCCTCATCTTTTGCTTTTATTGTGCACAACAATTTTTATGATTGTCTTATTGAAGAAATTATATATTGAGCATATACATGTACAACTTTTGACCAAAAAGATATTTTATCTCATGGTAGATTTGTCTTTTCTATGTTTAAGTACCCCAAATGGCGGAATCATTGCAGATCTACATTACTTTTATCGAATTCCAAAGCGAGCGGCGCAGTTCTCCTACGCTTAATTTTAGATATTGATAGATATTAATTGTATATTACGATATTTTTCAGACCCATTCCTATGTTAGAAAGAACTGCACTGATAGAGATATAGTAAGAATGTTTGAGTACTTGATACATAACATCAGCGTGGGATTTTGACCGAATATTTCAACAGGTAATTGTTAGTCCCGTGGGTAGCCTACAGTCATGTGTACTGTTACACGTCAATTTACTCCCCCGAATTGCATTTCTGGTAGAAGAAATAAAAACTATATAACATTTACTCCCACGAATTGTAGTTCTGGTAAAAGAAATAAAAACTATATAACATTTACTCCCACGAATTGTAGTTCTGGTAGAAGAAATAAAAACTATATAACATCAAATTCAATGCCAGTCAGCCTATCATGTCCTTACCGTAGCAGTAGTATTTCTTGGCAATATATGCCACATAAAATAAATATGATATTTTAAACGGGTCAAAGGTATGTTTAAAACGAGAGTTATGCTGTCATTACAATAATACTCACGAAACCAAAGAAAACTCTCACCGCCTATCGTACTAGAGATTGGTTGTGTTTAAGTCAATTTATCCGTTCGAGTTACATCATGATCGCCATAATAACAGCAGAACGTTAAGTATGGTCTGTAGACAATGCAGGATGTAAATACTAAGGGCGTAATTTGACATATTGTTTCAGCAATCAAATTTGCACCCTTGTGGTATCATATTCTAAATCAATTGAAAAATAAAGTAAATCATCTTTAGCCTATAATATACGTGAGGGTTTCGTTAAATGCACAGGAAGACATATCATTCACATACATGTATATCTCCAGTGTCAAAAATCCCAGTTAACATTGATGGTTAGATTTACGTAAAGTTTACGTCATTATGGTTAGATTTTGGTTAGCGTCCAATAATGGTAAAATTCTTTGGTTAAATTTACGTTACTTTTACGTCATAATGGTTATGGTTACTTTTACGTCAGAAAATGACGTAAATGTAACGTAAACTTTATGACGGATTACTAACCAATTTTTTTCGCTTTAAATACTTCTTGATTAAATAAAATTACAAGTGTGTGCACATTCTAACAATTGATAAATAGTTGGAATTCAGACATAATAATTATATATGTATTATTGGTTATAATTCTAACGTTATTCTAACGTAAATTTTACATCAGGTTTCTAACCGTTAGTTTATGGTTAGTTTTCTGACGTAAATCTAACGTTAGTTTTCTAACGTTAATCTAACGTTAGTTTTCTAACGTTAATATAACGTTACTTTTATGTCATAATTTTAACCGTTAATTTAACGTTAGTTTTCTAACGTAAATCTAACGTTAGTTTTCTAACGTAAATCTAACGTTAATTTTATAACATAAATCTAATGTTAGTTTTCTAACATAAACCTGATATTAGTTGTATAAAGTAAAACAAATGTCAGTTTAATTTCATGATACTAACAATTAAATTACTGTCATTTTTTATCCTTAGTTTTCTTACGTAAACAAATGTCAGTTTAAAAACATGAGCACCATTTGTAATGAAGCGACTCGATGAAGAAGGCTAACCATATCCCACAGGAGAATACTGGTGTGGACTACAATAAGCAGCAAGTTCTTGGACATTGGCAGGACGTTGTTGACGTTGACGTAACCTCTGTCCAAGCATGTCCCAGACATGCTCGATGGGGGAGAGGTCGGGACTCAGTGCTGGCCAAGGTAATGTGGTGATGTTCTGTTGTTGGAGGTAACCTGTAACGATCCTGGCCCTGTGACATCTTGCGTTGTCATCCTGGAAGATGAAACGGCGGCCATGACGTCGTGCGAACGGCACAACATGGACTGTCAAGATGTTGTCCCGGTAGTACTGGCCTGTAACACGCCCTGCAACAACATGTAAAGCCGTTCTTCCAGCAACAGTGATGCCTCCACACACCATAACAGAACCACCCCCAAATCGATCATGTCTGATGACGTTAACGTCTTGGAAGCGCTCGTTTCGACGACGCCACACCCTCCTACGTCTGTCCAAAAAAACAACAGTGAACCTTGACTCATCTGAAAACATCACATTGCTCCAGCGTCGATTATCCCAGTGTTGACGATCCCTACACCAACGACGTCTTGCCTGAATGTGATGATCTCTCAAACAAGGGATCACGCGAGGACGTCGGGCGCGAAGGTGACCCCTATGCAGTCGATTCCGAATCGTCTGGCCACTCACTCTCACACCAGTGTCTGTTTGAAGACGAGCGCTGATCTGATTTGCTGTGATGACACGATTTCTCAAGGCCAAGGTACGGATAAATCGATCCTGGGCTTGAGTTGTCGCCCTTGGTCGACCTGAGCGTGGTCTGTCCTGTACAGATTGTGTATCACGGTATCTGGACCATAGCCTGCTTATGACAGACTGAGAAACATTCATCGTCCGCGCCACAACCGCCTGTGTTGTGCCGATCTGTAGCATGCCAAGGGCACGTAACCTTTCATTTTGGGTAAGCCGACGCATATCAAAATTTGTTTTCTGGTCACTAAAACAATTAAACTGATGTTTCCACCCTGGAATTCATTGCCACAATGACTGTAACATTCAAAGTCAGAGTCGTGCAAATCTTGGGTTGGACCCCCATGATGATCCCAAGCATCACCTGCATTCCATGCGGTAGCTATTGGTGCGTTTGGGCGTCACATGTAACTGGAAATGTTTCTTCTGTTAGGTTCTATAGTGACTTTTTTCGTAGTCATTTGCATATTTTAGTATTATGCCCCCAAAATCAAATATCCCCTACTTTTTTTGAATAATATACATTCATGTTATATTATTATATGCCTTGCTACCCATTTTTGTCCATTTCCAGGTGCCCAACAATAGAAATGAAATGGGGTTTAACGTCCTACTGTTCTGCTCCGAACTGGGCTAATGAAGACGGGCATGTGCCATACAGTGTCCTATGAGGGACATTTTGCCCGTACAGCGGCACTACGACCTACTCTTATATCGAATTCCAACTGTCAAGGGATCTTTTACGTGCACACTAATGTGTCAACAGGACCTCAGTTTTTCATCGGATCCGAACAACTAGACAGGTGTCCTTATCAGGCCCTACGTCACGCATCACTTTCTCGGCCAATGCAGGGATCGAACCTTTTAACTCCTTTAAGAATTTCAGCCTGTAAGCGACACATAAAGAGAAAAAGGAATGAATGAATGACCTACTCTCATTTCGAATTCCAGCTGTCAAGGTTTCGTTTACATGCACATGCAACATGAGCACAAGATCTTGATTTTTTGTCCTATTTGAAGGACTAGACACTGTCCTACATTACAAACAAGGGGAAAATTCTATACCAGGATCGGACCCCTCGTTAGTTAGCCAGTGTGTTAACTTGAAAGTTAACCATTAGCCATTCAACCACGCCAGTGTGCTACAAGGGAGTTTTATCCGGACAGCTGTGCTTAGGCCTACTCATATATTGAGTTCCAACTGTCAGGGGATCTTTAACGTGCATGCCGATGTGTACATGGGACCTCAGTTTTTCGTCCCATCCGAAAGACTAGAAACCTGTGCAGTGCACAAACACATTCTCCTTATTATTCCTGTCTGTGACTACAGTAACTTGATATTGTACACATTGGAGTGCACGTAAACGATCCCTTGGTAGTTGGAATTCGATATAAGAGTATTCTGTTGTGCCGCTGCCCGGGCAAAATTTCCCTCATAGCACACTGTATGGTGTAGGCCCATCTTCATTAGCCCGGATTAGGAGCAGAACAGTAGGATGTTAAACCCCATTTCATTTCATTTTGTGTACATGGGACCTCAGATTTTCGTCCCATCCGAACGACTAGACAGCTGTCCTTGTCAGGCCCTCTGTCCTGCAACACTGCCAAGCAGAAACCACATCGGAAAATCCTGATGAACACTAGCCAGTCAGTGGCTCCGGGGTCATAAATGTAGTGCCACAAAAAAAAAATTTGCAGTTCACAAACACATTCTCCTTACTATTTGAGTCTGTGACGACAGCAACTTGAAAGTAGTCCAATTAATAGCCTTTTTTATGTGGTTTTGCAATCGAAATCAAACCTGAGAGGGAAAACAAATAATGATAATACATGAAAAAGTGTGGCACCATCCAAAGGGAGAGTGAGAATGAAATGGGGTTTAACATTCACTCGACACAAACTAGGTTATTTCAGGACTAACCGTAGGGGTCTTTAGCAGTGGGAGGAAACCGGAGCACCCAGAGAAAATCCACGGGGTTGGACAGACGTCCCTACTCCTTGTCATATTCAACCCGGGAATGGAACCCATGCCAGTTGAATCAATGACATACCTTATGATACAACACGCATGCGCTAAATCGATGGACACACTAGCCGAATCGTTCGGCTGAATGGGTGGACACACTAGCTGAATGCTTCGCCCGATTCAACCTGTCGGTTGCATCACCTTTCACATCACATGATTAAACATGGCGGCGTCTGTGTCTTTAATCTATCATGTGACTTCTCGATATGAGTGGTGATTGGCTAATGAATTCTATATTCGGCCGAATGCTTCGGCGAAGCGAACACACCAGGCGAATATAATTGATTCGGGCGAATTATTCGGCCGAATGACAGTGGACACCGAATCATTCGGCTAGTGTGTCCACCGCCTAACCATTTGTCCATCCGACCCTCCGCCAGTGCGTTACCAGGGAGTTTTGTCTGGACAGGAGTGCTAAGGCCTACTCTTATATTGAATTCCAACTGCAAGGGGATCTTTAAGTGCATGCCAATGTGTACATGGGACCTCAGAGAGAATGAAATGGCATTTATCATCAACTCGACACAAACTAGGTCATTTCTGGACTAACATATATAGTTTAATTTTATTTCAATAATTCGCGTGCCCGTAGGGGTCTTTAGCAGTGGGAGGAAACTGGAGGACCCAGAGAAACCCATGAAGTTTGACAGGCGACCTTACTCCTTGTCATGTACAACCAGGAAATCGAAACCACGCCAGTTGACTCAATCATACCTTATGATACAACGCGCACACGCTAACCATTTGGCCATCCAACCTCGCGCCAGTGTGCTACAAGGGAGTTTTGTTTGGACAGCAGTGCTCAGGCCTACTCTTATATTGAATTCCAACTGCCAGGGGATCTTTTATGTACATGCCAATGTGTACATAAGACCTCAGTTTTTCGTCCCATCCAAACGACTAGACAGCTGTCCTTGTCAAGCCCTCCGTCCTGCACCACTGACAAGCGGAAACCACATCGGAAAATTCTGATGAGCTTTCTCAGGCAACACTGTGAGCGAACCTGTGACCTCCAAGCAAGCCAGCCAGTGTCTTATTCACTTAGCCACTGTGGCAAAGGGGTCATAAATATAATTCCACAAAAAAACCTGTGCAGTTCACAAACACATTCTCCTTACTATTCGAGTCTCTGTGACTACAACAACTACTCGAAAGTAGTGCGAACTGTAAATTTTATTTTGTTAAACCATCGTAAGAAAAGGAACATATTGAATATGCTTGTCAATATTCTTTCTCTGTCAGAGCAGCTAAAAGGTGAAATTGTCTTCCAAAAACTCTTTGTGAGTCCTCTTCCATCCAAAACTTAAAAAAAAATTATTTCAAAAATGGTGTTGAGAGAGAGAGAGAGAAATGGGGTTTAACAAGAGAGAGAGAGACAGAGAGAGAGAGAGAAATGGGGTTTAACGTCCACTTGACACAAACTAGGTCATTCGGGACTAACATATAGTTTAATTTTATTTCAATAATTTGCTTGCGCGTAGGGGTCTTTGGCAGTGGGAGGACCCGGAGAAAACCCATGAGGTTGGACAGGCGACCCTACTCCTTGTCACGTATAACCGGGGATTCGAAACCACGCCAGTTGACTAAATGACAGGTCGTCACCATTCGGCCATCCAACCCCCCAAAAATGGTGTTGAAATGGGTGTTTTTGTGAATGCGCTTAGAAATACTCATGTGTAATGAAGTGCTATAATTGAACCATAATAATAATATAGTAGGCCTAGTGGACTCCTCCGTCTCATTTTGGTTGAATGTTTGGAAATTTGATGGCTAATTAGATTTAGGACACTCTGGCATATTTTCTAGACTTGGCTTCATGTGGCCTGTTTTCCATGCATACAAGAATTAACCAATTAGAAGTTAAACAAAATAAAATCTGCTCCAAAATATTACAATACTTTTTTTTATTTCATTGCCCAAAACACCTTTACAGCCTGAATGTTAATTTTGGGGCAGCGTTTAACTGCATGGGTGGTAATTGAATTTATTAAATTGACTAACTTTTGCACAATAAGTAAATATAAATTATCTTAATACCCCAACTCAGACAAGTTAGTGGCCTTTCAAACCAATTTAAATTCGGTCAAAATTTGTAGAAATTTAGATATTATTTTATTGCATGTGTGTACAATTTGTTATGTGTCTAAGCTCTGTTACCACAAAAAATATATTTAATTTAGTCCTTATAGTAGATTCTATCACACGTTTGAAAGTTGTCCAACGGTCGAATAAATATGTTGTAGTTTGACCTAGATAAATATAAGACTGGGAAAATAAATATAAAAAAAATTCCGACATCTTAAAAGTAGATACCTATATTCGCAATGGAAATATTATTTTAAAAATCGGGATTATTTAATTTGATACAACTGAATAAAATGGCTCTAGTCGATCTATTTAAAAAAACATCAACCAAATATACGAGTTGGGCAACTGCCAGTGCAGTACTGCATCCGTCGTGATCCGAATAAAGCTGTACGTATGTATATTATATCATGTGCATGCTTAAAAAAAGGCCTCTGAATCATATAATAATTTCTTCAATTTTACTATTCATAAGCCTAAAATATTACGTAGTTATAGACTATATATAAAATATTGAAGTGCGTAGGCCTACAGTTGATAGTCGCATAGACTCCGTTATCTACGTATATGATATATGCCGCCATTTTGGGTCAAGGTCAAGATAAATTACAGTCAATACAAATGAATAACTACATCGATAGATTATTAAATGTAATTTCTATTAACTGATTTCAATGTTAGGTGGTCTATGTTTGTTGTCTTTTTCAGTATATTGTCCACATTGATTAAACTATCATTATTAAAATCATTTTGATTCTTCTATATTTGTACGTACTTTTTTACAACTCTGAACCCGGAAGCGAGGTATTCTGGGAAGGTTATTTTAAAGATGGCGGGCGTTTTGGAATTTATTCGTGGAGTGCATGAGAAATGTTCAATATACAGCTACTTGGATTACACAAACAGAGAAAGATAGATTATACCAGTTAAATTGAGAGGTTTTATTTGAAAGTAAGTTTTTTCTTATATCCCCGACTGCTGATATACACGTATACTGAGACTACAAATTCAGCGATATGAAAAGAACTTACAATACAATGTAATAGTAGTAAAAATACTAATAAATACTATTCACACAGATGTAAAATTATTTCTGTCCTTATTTTTCTAATTTTTCACCGTAATTCTTACTTCTGTAAGACGCCAGGTTACGAAACAGTTTGCTTTTGTGAAAAAAAAAAAATTACTATCAGGTTATTACTGTACACATTTTCATTTTTACTTAATTAATAATTACTTAGACCTTTTGGACTAAAAAAAAATATGTCCTCACTACTCAACGCTGCAGGCTTTGGCACATGACATTTTTACTTTCATAGCATTGGCAACACTTTAATCTCAATCTTCTCTGATTCTAAATAGCAGAAATATAGCAAATTCTTCTGTAACACTGTAATCAACCAGAACGTAATTCCAAACTTGACGTCTCCCCCTTGGACCCCGGCTGCTATTGCTTTTCATCAAAAATCTACCTGCTGTGCATAACTAAAGTTGACTTTTGAGCGCACGACAGAGAGTCTGGAGAGGGCCAACGCCAGTCTCTGCAGGCTGGGGCCAATGTACAGTCTTTCGAATGGGACAAAAAACCAAGGTATATTGCACACATTGAATGATAATTTAAACCTAATTTCATTTTGATTTTGGAGTATAAAAGTTGCTTTAATTGAATTTTTTTTTGTTTTTTTTTTTACAGACCCTATATTTGAGCACCATTCATGGCAGTCATGTCGAGGAAGTTATAAAAAGGCTGATAAGGGCTTTGTATATGGAAGCTAGATGACATTACTACTTATCATACACAACTATTTGTCACATACCGACTTGGGATTGAAACCAAGCGACTGAACTCAATAACATTCCTCAATAACACTCGTCTATGAAACCACCCAGATGGCAAAGAAATAAAGACTTTTTAATTATGTACCGAACTCATATATGTATCTATGGTAGCACAAAATTCACCAGAATGTAGGCCAAAGCTTTACTTTACAAGCAGTAGGCTTAAAATATTTTCCGTCTGATCTTGTAAGAGTCAATTGTTTATGAATAGTTTGCCTCAAGCAGATATCCTGTCACTGTGTCACAGTATCATATAACCGCTCTTTGGCTTGAACTGAGTTGTATCAGTGAGTTGAAAATCTACTGCAGCCAGTACATGTATATTAGATTCAAAATTCTAACGAGCTTTCGTCTAACTTCTAACTTCTGTTCATGTATTTTTTAACTTCTATTCATGTAATTTCTAACTTCTATTCATGTATTTTGTTAAATTAAGACAATGTATAATCCAACTTCTTTATTTGTTCAGTGTAAATTTTAATTCTATTCCATCTTATTTCTATTATTTAGACGAAAAACGTCTTCTTAATTTTTACACTTCTGCCTAGCAACCATCATTATGAAGTCATTTGGTGTCGCCACTGCGTGCTCATTTTTGGTGATTGCGCACCTGGTCGGGACCATTGTGTTGATATAAACGACACATTCTTGATAAAGACGAGAGTGTCCTCGTCGAAACGTTGCTTTATATTAAACTCAGTAAGAGTTATCTATAAAATTGTACCCTGTGTTAATGTAGACCAACAGTATATAAATATTAATTGGCTCAACTTGTCTTAAAAAAAATGAACAAATGCTGTTTAGCTTGTATTTGAAATAGAAAATGAAATATAATGGGGTTTAACATCCTACTATTCTACTCCGAACTTGGCTAATACGCCATACAGTGTGCTACGAAGGAAACTTTGCCCGGACAGCGGCACTACGGAACGATTAGACAGCTGTACTTGTTAGGCCCTCCATCCTGCATCACTGACAAGGAGGAACCATGCCGGAAAATCTGGATGAACTTTCTTGACCAATGCAGGGATCGAACACCCTACCGCTAGGCTAGTGAGCCAGCGTCTTACCGACCATATTTGAAATCGTATTTGCAAACCATACATAGATATCACGTTCAATGTTGTTTGTGGGGTTGGACGGCCGAAAGGTTAGCACGTGCGCGCTGTACCATAAGGTATGTCATTGAGTCAACTGGTGTGGTTTCGATTCCCCGGTTGTACGTGACAAGGAATAGGGTCGCCTTTCCAACCTAGTGGGTTTTCTCCGGGTCCTCCGGTTTCCTCCCATTGCTAAACACCCCTACGCGCAAGCGAATTATTGAAATAAAATTGAACCATGTTAATACCGAACCTACATGTAGTTTGTGTTGAGTGGACGTTTAACCCCATCAGACTCTCTCTCTCTCGCTCTCTCTCTCGAAGTTGTTTTCAATTTTAGCACTCCACCAAACCATTCAACTGGACTAAGAGCGAGTCATTTGTATCAACAGAATGGTCCCGATCAGGTGCTCAATCGCCAAATTGAGCGAACGGTGGCGACACCAAACGACGTCATAATGATGGTTGCTAGGTAGAAATCAAAATTCTAAATTTGTTTACCATTCATGCTTAACATGTAAAGTGACTAGACATTTTTCGCCTTAATAATAGAAATAAGATGAAACAATTAAAATTTACACTGAACAAAAAAAGAAGTTGAATTATACATTGTCTTAATTTAGAAATTACATGAATGGAAGTTAGAAATTACAAGAGTAGAAGTAAGAAATTAGACGATAGCATGTTAGAATTTTGAATCTAATATACCGCCATAGTATACGGGGAAACTTTTTAAACCCTTACAAATTCTTCAAATTTTTGTGATAGATCAATAATAGCAAAAATCTGTGTTAAAATTATATTTGTAATGTGTTTAACAAATTCTATCACACATGTAATATTGGTGTAATTTAGTATATACCTTATTTCAATACTGGGGTATTATATCGTTGCCCTGACTGTTTGTTTGTCCAAATTAGTTTGTGATTGTGAAGGTGACAGTTTTTTATACGCTAACATTTTCATGTAGACGTATATTTTTGTAGCCCCTGTCCGTCCGAACGTCCATCGGTCCGTCCACAATTGTTTGTGGGACCGTAACTTCATGGATTATGGCCCCTGATTGTACTGAAAGTCATGTTTTTAGCTTGTGGACCCTATAGAGGTCAAAATTTTTATATGCCCACATTTTCATGTGGACGTATATTGTGGTAGCCCCGGTCCGTCCGGATGTCTGTACACAATTGTTTGTGGACACTCTACAGGTCACAATTCTTATCCGATTTTGACGAAACTTGAAATATAGGTTTATCTCCAAAAGATCTTGGTTGCTTTCGATATTGGCATGTATCTGACCGTAACTTCTTGGATTATGGTCCCTGATTGTACGAAAAATCAAGTTTTTAGCTTGTGGACCCTATAGAGGTCACAATTTTTATACGCCCACATTTTCATGTGGACGTATATTGTCGTAGCCCTTGTCCGTCTGGACGTCCATCCGTTTTTAGCTTGTGGTCCCTATAGAGGTCACAATTTTTATACGCCCACATTTTCATGTGGACGTATATTGTCGTAGCCCCTGTCCGTCCAGACGTCCATCCGTTTTTAGCTTGTGGTCCCTGTAGAGGTCACAATTTTTATTCGATTTATAAAAAAAAAACAATGGGAATATATAACCATTACACACTAAGATCTTGGTTCCTTTTCATAATCGCGCATATCCGAACGTAACTTCCTCGATTATGGCTCCTGATTGTTCGAAAAATCGCATAATCAAGGTTGAATTCGAATTAAGGGAAAATCAAAATGAAACTGCCTGACAAAATGTGTAAAAGTATGCAATATGAAGGCATTGGATACTCAAGATTTTAACTGGCCTGCAATTTAAAAATTTAATTAAAAAATGGGAAAGTGAGGCCAAGTCTCGAATATACCTGTGCCCTCATTACCACAATGCACACATCATGTCGAAACTAGAAACTGTGATAACTTGGCTCAGAATGAAGTAATTTGAATGAAATTTTCATTTTACATGTATATTATTTATTTTTGAACAATCATAGCAAGAATGGTCAGCTCTTTATCTAAATCTGGGCTAATGAAGACGAGCATATGCCATACAGTGTACTATGAGGGAAATTTTGCCTGGGCAGCGGGGCTACGGCCTACTCTTATATCGAATTCCAACTGCCAAGGGATCTTTTACGTGCATGCCAATGTCTACACGGGACCTCGGTTTTTCGTCCCATAACGACTAGACAGCTGTCCGTCTGTCAGTTCCTCCGTCCTGCATCACTGACAAGGGAAACCACGCCGGAAAATCAGGATGAACTTTCTCGGCCAATACAGGGATCGAACACCCGATCTCCAGGCTAGCGAGCCAGCGTCTTACCCACTTAGCCACTTGATCCCCCCCTTTGGTGAAAGAGAGAGAGAGAGAGAAATGGGGTTTACCGTCCACTCGACACAAACTAGGTCATTTCGGGACTAACATATGGTTTAATTTTTTATTTACATAATTCGCTTGCGCGTAGGGGTCTTTAGCAGTGGGAGGAAACCGAAGGACCCGGAGAAAACCCACGAGGTTGGACAGGCGACCCTACTCCTTGCCACGTACAACCGGGGTTTCGAAACCACGCCATTCGACTCAATGACAGACTTTATGATACAGCGTGCGCACGCTAACCATTCAGCCATCCACCCACCCCCCCCCCCCTTTGTTGAAAGAAAACAGAGCTGTGGCTAGTGAAATGAAAGTTTAACGTCCTACTGTTTTGCTCTGAACTGGGCTAATGAAGATGGGCATACGCCATACAGTGTGCTATGTGGGAAATTTTGCCCGGACAGTGGCACTACGGCCTTCTCTTATATCGAATTCTAACTTCAAGGGCTCTTGTACGTGCACGCCAATGTGTACATGGGACCTCATTTTTTTGTCCCATTTTAATGACTAGACAGCTGTCTTGTCTAGCCCTCTGTCCTGCATCACTGACAAGGGAGAACCACGCCCGAAAATCTGGAGTAACTTTCTCGGCCAATGCAGGGATCGAACACCCGACCTCCAGACTAGATAGCCAGTGTCTTACCGACTCAACCAACGTGATCCCCGTTGTGGCTACAATTCCTGGATTTGAAGGTCAGGTATGATATGAAACGAATATTTTGAACCGGTTCACCAATGCAACCAATCCGTGACGGGTTAACTGATAGAGGGTTACATCCTTGATATAAATATACTTGTCGCGGGTTTTAAAAATAGAAATATATATATAAAGGTAGCTCAAAATTCATCTCTACATGTACAGAGGCCAAGGGGGGATCATGTGGCTAAGTGGGTAAGACGCTGACTCGCTAGCCTTGAGGTCGGGTGTTCGATCCCTGTATTGGCCGAGAAAGTTCATCCTGATTTTCCGGTGTGGTTTCCCATTGTCAGTGATGCAGGACGGAGGGCCTGACGAAGACAGCTGTCTAGTCGTTTGGATGGGACAAAAAAAAAAACAAGGTCCAGTGTACACATTGGCGTGCACATAAAAGATCCCCTGGCAGTTGGAATTCGATACAAGAGTAGGCCATAGCGCTGCTGCCCGGGCAAAATTATCTCATAGCACACTGTATGGCGTAACCTTTTGCGTCTCTTCAAAATATTTCAAATCTTTTGTCATGGATCAACCATTGCAAATATCCGTGTTACAATTATATTTGAAATGTGTTAAACCAATTCTGCAACACATGTAATATTGGTGTAGTATATATCTTTGTTTATACACCCACATATCAATTTTGGCCCTGTTTGTCCGTACACTGGGTGTGAAATGTGAATCATTCCGATTGTGAGAGGACAAGCATTATCAATATACAGCTTTTCAGGACTTTGCTTTCCTTGGTTAATTCTCCCTAGTCTAGTCGTTTGGATGGTACGAATGATCGAGGTCCTGTGCACACATTGGTGTGCACGTGAAAGATCCCTTGGCAGTTTGAATTCGATATAAGAGTAGGCTTTAGCGCCGCTGTCTGGATAAAATTCCATAATAGGACACTGTATAGCATATTTCCATGTCATTAGCCCTGTCGGAATAGGACATTAAACCCATTTCATTTCACTCATTCCAAAGTTAACTTCTATTCCATCAATACCTTGAGCAAATAAGATAGAGGCTATAGGTTTTGGCCCAATTTGGTCAATATCCCAGTTTTTTCTTTCTTATATGCATATCAACACTTTCATAGCGCTAATGTAGACCTTTTTCTTGAACATTTTCCCGTGTCAGTGATGCCGGACAGAGGACCTGACATGGATGGCTGACTAGTCATACGGAAGGGACAAAAAAACCAAGGTACAGTGTAAACTCAAGTGTGTGTGTGTGTGAAAGATCCCTTGGCAGTTGGAATTTTATATAAGAGTACGCCATAGCTCTGCACACTGTGTGGCATATGCCCGTCTTCATTTCTCAAACAGCTGTGGATAAAAACTGTTAATATTTAAATGTGTATTTTGTATTTTATAACATTATATTTTTGTCTTTTAAATAAAGTATATGTATACATACTTGTAGTATATTTTGTCATATAATTCTGCTAGATTTTTAACTTTTCTGTGCAATACATTTAGAATTCTGACTGGTTATGGGTAGATAGAGAGCAATGGGGTAAAACATCCAATAGACATAAACTGTCCTTTGGGACTAAGTGATTCAATTCAAGTTGAATAATTCATCCGCACCAGAAATCTTTAGTAGTAGGAGGACCCAGAGAAAACCCATGTTCAAGTTGGGTGTGGAAACAAACCACTTGACTCAATGACAGACCTTATGATCTAAAGCGCACACGTTGGACCACTCAACTTTTAGCCTCACCCACGGGTCAGGAAAATTTGATTATTGGTTGAATGTACTTCCCATTTACTGCCGCAAATAATGAATAATTTTGAAGGTTTTAATGCTCATCAAAATTTGACTTTAGAATTGCATCCGTAAATGATGTTAATTTAATGTTAGATTTACGGTATAATGATCGGTTAGATATCCATCATTTTGCTCATCCTTTTAACGACAATTTAACGTCAGGAAATGACGTTAATCTAGCGTAAAGTTTACGTCATTTTTACGTTATATTTACATCATTTTCTGACGTAAATCTAACGTAAAGTTTACGTCATTTTCTGACGTAAATCTAACGAAAATGACGTAAACTTTACGCAAATTTTACGTTAGATTTACGTCAGAAAATGACGTAAAGTTTACGTTAGATTTACGTCAGAAAATGACGTAAATATAACGTAAAAATGACGTAAAGTTTACGTTAGATTAACGTCATTTCCTGACGTAAAATTATCGTTAAAAAGATGAGCAAAATGATGGTAAACTGACTGACCATTTTTACGTAAATGTAACGTAAAATTAACATCATATTGTTATGTGGGATGTATGTTGCTTTAATGTAACGATTGTTATTTAATTGAGCAAACCTGGGTATCAAAAACTAAAAAAAAAAATTCACGAAGAATGGGTTGTCTATTACCCTATTACTATACTATAACTTCAAATAATATTAAACGATTGTAATATTTTTTGTACCAGAACTGATAGCAGTACATTTGATCATGGAATTAGATATTTTAATTAATTTATTGGGTATTTTTGTTCAAAAACAAGGGAATATATGCATAAAACATAAGTTATTTACATCGAACTAGTCCAAATAGGATAACTTATTTTCTTAAAACCCGAACATGCCAAGGTAATACTTAAATATATAGATATACATAATCAAATTATGGAATAGTAGATAGCAAGTAACATCAGCTCTAACTGACATCTACAACGTCAATACACATCATAAGTCGTGTGAATTTCACCAATTAAA